CCCTTGATGCATGCACCCCGCCCCTCATCCACCACGCGCCGCCTGCCACTGGCTCTCCACATCCATCCATGCATAACTCACACATGCACCTACGTCCATACACACCCGACCGACAAACAAAAACCGCCGCAACCCCCCCAAAACCCTAAACCCCCAGGCGAATTCCTGTTCCTGTATCTACAGGAGCTCGGCGGCTCCAAGGCCCTCATGGGCCTCACCCTCACAGTGACTTGCGCCGCAGAGATCCCCGCCTTCCACCTGCAGGGCGCCGTGCTGCGGCGCGTGCGCGTCGAGGCGCTGCTGCACTTTGTGATCGCGACGTACGCGCTGCGGCTCGCGCTGTACGCGGCGCTGCCGGCCGCGGGCAGCGCGTGGGCGGTGCTGCCGATCGAGCTGCTGCACGGCGTCACCTTTGGGTGGGCGGGCGCGTGCGCCCGAACCGCACAAGCATTGGACTGGCGGCCGCAGGCTGCTGTGGGGTCGCCGTGGCGGGGGGCTGCTTGTGTGGATGAGCCCGCGTCTCAGGCCGGCTGTGCCTCCGGCGCACAGACCGTGCGTTTTCTGCCACAAGCGGCACCTTGCATACGTGAATCCCAATGTCTAATCCCTGCAACGTAAGTCTTGCTGACACCCTCCCCCCCCCCACGGGCAGGTGCGGCTGGGGCGGTGGCACTGTGCAATGCAAGCGGCTGGCGCAACGACTGGGGGTCAGCGGGGTGGAGGCGACGATGCAGGTGGGTCCATCGGCCGCCTGAGGATCAAACACACGCGCGTGCGCATGCGTGCGTTGTGTGTGTTGCTGTGAGGTGGGTGGGTTTGTTTGTGGCAGGGGTTGCAGGGGTGCGGTCGGCGGCGGATCCGCTTGCGGAGTGCAGCGTAGCCATTCCACTACAACCCGCGAAGCTCATGTGTGCGTGCCGGATCCCTCTGGCTACACGTACGCCATTGAATTGAATGCACAGATACACACGCGTTCCTGTCTCAAATACGTTATTCGTTTGTTTCCCTATGATGTAATCACACACCAGGGCATATTCCAGGGCCTTTACTTTGGCGTTGGCCAGGGCCTCGGCGCCCTGGGAGGCGGCTTGCTCATGCACCGGTTCGGCGGCCAGGCCATGTTCGCTCAGGCCTCCGCCATCACCCTCGCCGCCTGGGCGCTCTGCGCCGCAGCTGCGGCCGCGGCGCGCGCTTACGAGGCCGCGGACGGGCCGGAGTCGGCCCCGGGGCGGGCAGGGATTGCGGAGCGGTTGGGGCGGCTGCTTGGGTACAGGCAGCGGCAGCCAGGGGTGGCCCCAGGCGCTCTCGGCAAGGCCGCTGCCGGCAGATTGGGCTACAGCCAGCTGAAGAGCAAGGACAGCGGGCCCGACCTGTCTCTTCAGAGGCCAGACGGCTGGGAGCCTGTGTGACGGCACGGCCAGCGGCGCCCACCATTCGCCCTCGCTTTGTGACGTGTGTGCATGTCCCACTGACTCTTTCGTTGTACTGTGACGCGATGCGCAAATTTTTTCATTTCAAGACTTTTCTTTGAGCGAGAGATCCGTGAGCCGTTCAGCTCCACCGCCACCGCCGCACAGCGGTGGCCAGGCGGCGGTTTTGCCAAAAAAACAGCCGGCGGCGCCCAACTCTGGTTGATCGAGAGACCCGCGGTCAACCGCACAGCTCTGCGACACGAGCTGCCTGCATTGTGATTGTTCACATTGCTGCACTCCCCTTCGTCTGCCGGCCGGCATACAGCCAGCAGGGAATGCCTGCTGCTGGCTGCGAGCGCTTCAGCGACGGCATTCGCCCAATAGTAGCCCCTCTCAAGAACCCCCCACGCTTGACGCCCCCTGTAACGTTGCCATGAGGGAGCGAGCGGGGGCTCCCGCGGCAGGGGTAGCTGCTCTGCTGGTGCGTCCCCGCGAGCTAGAGCCTTCAGCCTTTGGGCGTCGAGAGGACTGCCGGCCGTGTGGGGCGCTCATCCAATGCACATGAACAGGGGCCTCAATGGAACACAGGCGCCCACAGGACCCGCTGCCGCCGACACCTCCAGACTACAGAGGCGTGCGAGCGAGCGCCCTCCGCCCAGACTCGAGCCGCTTGCCGCCTCGGCGGAGCAGTATAGATTGATTACATAGGATTCCCCGACCAAGCCCCCTCAACAGCACGCAGAGCGCGCGATAAGGCAAGTGCACGACCCGCAGTTCAAGGCCCCGCGCGCTTGCACAAACTCCGACCAAGAGACAAGAGCGTGCGAGGGGCCGGACCCAGGTGAGGGCAGCGGCGGCGGCAAGCATAGTGTGGAGGCACGCGTGTGATGGTTGGCATGGCAGTGACAGCAATCCGGTTTCTTGCACATCGGTCGCTTCGACGATTTGCGTCGGCACCCCATTGGCCGGCGTGCTCCGGCGCAAACGCCCCCGGGGCCTGCGGGCATGACGCGTCCATAGTGGGCGCGGGCGCGCGGCGCGAGTTCCGCGCCTCGGGCAGCGGCCTCGTAGCCTGGCGGCGAGGCAAGCAGGGCAGCAAAGCAGGGCGGCCCAGGTGTGCAGCCGGCAGCGTGCCTGGAAATGGATCTGTGCTCAGCATTGAATGCGCGAGGAACAGTGCGTTTCGGCCGGCTTGGGGTCGACCCCGGGGGCATCCCACAATGAAAGAGATTCATCCACAACGCCTGTCACAAGGTCAATAATGAGTCATGGGTCAGGATGAGTGATGTCATGTCTGGTTCAATCATGTCGGCACTTACAAACGGTGTTCCTAGGAGCAAGTCAAAAAAGGGCATCCCAGAACGGGCCGAGTGCCTCAAGAGCGGCGGAAGTCGGAGGGATGCGACTCGACGCAGCCGCGCGGCGTGCCCGTGCTGCATGCGCGCCGCCGCGCTACCACCCTTGAACGATGTTCGAAGGGCCCAGCGAGGCCGTCGCGGCGGCGCCGCCGCGGCGCTGACCCGCCGGCTTCCGGCAGGGGTGAGAGGCGTGCTGGCCAGGGCCACACGCTGGGCAGCAGGCCGCCTGCCGGCGCGGCCGTTGGGTCACAGGAGTGCGGAAGCAGAGAGCGCAAGCCACGCAAGGGGTGGGGGCTGCAGGCTGCAGGCCGCCCCAGTGGGCACACAAGTGGTACACAGCCCGCCTGGGCTGGAGGGCGGCGCGCGTGCTGACGCAGCGGCCCCGCGGCCAGCATCAGAAGCATGCTTCCAACACAGGCTGCGCGCAACGGCTGATGGAAAGCCGTGCGCTCAATTGCCACATGTACGAGCCGGCGATAGCGGATGCGCGCGCAGCCACCTTGCATAGAGAGCAAGGGGGGCGCGCGCGAACGCCCGCCGCGCGTTGCGGCCGCCCCGCTCTCGCGCCCCTGCGCCCCGCCCCGACCCGCTCACGTGCCGGCGCCGCCGGCCGCGCTCGCCGCCGGGGCGGGGGGCGCCAGGAGGCGGTACCTGCCGAGAAGCTGCTCCGCCTTGTGGTCTTCGGCCGAAAACAGGAAGCCCTCCGCGAAGCGCCATTCATTGTCCGAGGGAACCTGCCACGCGGCGACCTTGGACACGCCAAGGAGGTGCGTGGACGACGCAGGCGGCGGCGCCGCTGCCGCGCCGCCCGGCGCGCCGC